CTCTGCCATGGACTGTGACACTGTGGATTGGATGAGTCAGGATGCAGATCTTAAGTTTCTTCATCCTGAGTCATATTTTACCTCATCTATTCTCCCTTTTGCTTCAGTTTCATGAGAAATATTGTATATAGGAGGTTGAGGTGCATTTCCATCAGGTGGGAATTTCTAAATATAAGTGATATTTCCTCATGTGCCCACCCTCTTCCTAGAGTGCAGCCCCTGGAGTCACAGACCTAAGGTGCTCAGCTGTTGTGGGCTGTCTCTGCTGAGACAGGTATCCATCTCATGGAACAAGTTGTCCTGCAGAGAATCCATTTGCCTGGATGAAACTGAGAATAGATGCTCCATGGTTAAGATTCAAATTCAAATGGTGTATCCTTTGCACTAGGACACAGAACTGTAAAGTCTGACACAGCAGTGTCTCAGAGTTAAAATCCAATGTTCCCTTCAGCACCCATCTCTCCTACAGAATTCTTTTTTTGAGGGAGGAAGGGGCTTTTTAGTTTGTTTATTGTTGTAAAAATATAGATAACACAACATTTCCTAGTTCAACATTTTTCATGTGTACAATTCAGTGACAACAATTACAGCAATCATGTTGTGCAACCATCACCAATATCCGTTGCCAAATTTTCTATCACCGTAAACAGAAACTCAGTGCTTCTTAAAACTCCTATAGTATTTGGTTACCTAGTGAATTCTTCATGCTTTTAACATTCATTTTTCTCTTGCTGAACCCTTGAAAGTCCTCCACTTTTATTAGCAAATCCTTTACTTAGCATTTACTATTTGCCTGGCACCATTCATACAGATGATTAATTCATTTAACTTTCATAACAACCTAATGAGGTAGCCATATTATTTTCTCTGTTTTACAGATTAGGAAATTGGAGGTCAAAAGTAAAAGTTTCTAGCCCAACACTACACAGCTAGTAAATGATATATGTTGGCTTCAAACTCTCTTCATCATCTTCCATCATAGTTTCACATTTTCCATTGATCTGCAATCCACTTCCTGAAACAAAGCACACAATTATCTTCCATCTATCAGCTAGAATCTTTGGCCATCTAACTGACACATTATCTATATCATAGACTATAGCTTCCAAAGGATTGCATTTCCACAAATGGAAGTTGTGGATTGGTTGATCCTTGATCTTTCCACTTGCTTCTCATTTTGACCTGGCACTTTCCAACAAGACTCACTCAAAGTGACAGATGCTTTTCTTCCTCCCTGCATGAATCCTCCATCCCATGTGTCCCTGGTCTTGGATAACTCACATTTTATACTGCCCGGGGAGGGGTGGGGGGTGGGGGCTCTTACCTCTGAGGAGATGTTTTTGTTTCTGTACTTGAGATCTCACAAGAAGAAATACAGTGAACAGAACCAGGAGAAGGAGCCCAAGGGTAACAGATAAAACAAGTGCTGAGTGACCTGTACAGAAATTAAACATTGATAGATATTTAACTAATGGACATCAGTTGTGGGTTTATACACTGGAAAAAGAACTGGTTCCCTAGTTATTGAGAAGAATGAGGGTTATATGTCTTAGCATATTCATAAACAGTACATAATATCTGAGAACTATTTTAGATGAAAAATGTCTCCATTGCCATAACTTTCCTTCAATTGTATACAAGAGCTTTGATGATTAAACTTTTCCTCTTGCATTGACTGCGTTCACCATTAAAACACCAGTCCTGGAAAATACCTAGGGCTTGAGTGGTTTCTGCCAGTCTCATGAAAAATATTGGAGAACTTATGGAGATAATTCTATCTCTGAGGTACCTTTCTCCTCCTCCATATGTTAAATGGGTTTTTCTAGAGAGAAGTTCTGCATAGTAAAGCAAAGTCATAGAGAAGTTAATACCACCCACTGCCATAGCTTCAGAATTTAAGTCCCCAACCTCCTTTGATTGTCATTGTAGTTTGCTCCCTCCCTCAATTGCCCATATAGTCATAGTTATTCATGATATTGCTTATGAGCAGGACGCTGTACCTGAGCCATTAAGTGATTTCAGAGATTCTCCTGCAAAAGAAAGAGAGAGAGATGTAAATAAAATGTAACTCAAATCGGAATTCAAATAAAAGGAATTTCTGGATATATCTTGTTTCATTCCCTGGGCATATTGGGTGCCATTTAAATATCATTTACAATCCTCCTGATTGTCTTGGAGAACTTTATCCCCTTAAAATTGTGGGAGCTTTTATATAACTGGAAACTTATTTAATGAGGAAAACGGTAGTTTAACACAACCTTTCATTTGTATCCTCCAGCCTAACTATCTGAGGCTGTTTCTCAATGCCTTTTACCCTTAGCAAAACTCCTAGTTTAAGTTCAGTCTTTTCACACTTACCAGAGCACATCATACCAGCATCTTCCTTGTGCCCACAATCACTCTGTCCCCAGTGCTTGGCATGACAATCCCATAGAAATGATTCATTTCCTCTGCACTGCATCTCATCCAGCCAGATTGGTCCAGTCCCCGGACCAAAAGCAGCCTCCCCTGGGGCAGCCAGAGCAGGCCCACAGCCAAGCTGCCGACACACCACTTCAGCCTCCTGCAGGCCCCAGGAATCATCGCACACTGTACCCCAGGAGCCTTTGTGCCAGATCTCCACTCTCCCACAGCACTTGGTGTCTCCTCCACTGACTCTTATCTTATCTAGAAAGGCACAAAAACAAAACAAAACAAACAAAAACGGCCGTTATTTCTCTTAAAAGAGATTGTGGGTGAATGCTGAAGGAATTCTCCTTCAGTAGATCTGAAAGTACTATATATGATTTATTAACTATGTGGGTGTGACAAGAAAGGCAGAGTTTTAATGCTACGTGAATTAGAGAATAAGTGTAAAGTGAGTGAGCCCCCCTCCTGCCCCATGACTTTGGTTTGTCCTACTTATGATCAAGGGTTGAAGCATCTCCAACCAGGTCAAAAATCAGGCATTCATTTTCTACTGCTGGATGTTTGAAAATAACACACATTGATTTCATCTTCCAAATTCCCATGTCCTTCCATCTGATCAAAACCTTCTGTCCTGCCCCTTTCATTTTCATAATTACTCCAAATATGACATTTGTATGACTTAAGCCAAATCTATAGACCATTGGTAATTCTATTCCCTCCAATTATTTGTTTTTTCCTACTTTTACTTCCCTATCTATATAGTATGTTTGCTATGAACATAATTACAACCATTCTTCTGCCAAAATGAAAGATTTCTTGACCTTATTGACCTTCCATCATACAAACATAGCTATGTATAAATGCAGTATAAACCTAACTGTCCACTTCCTTTGAGCCAGTTCCTGAAATGTTGAGTATCAGTGCAGATAATTAAACTGGTGCCATTATAAACTTCTTGTAAAATTCTTCTAAACTCTCAAAATTTTTTAATGGTCTTACCATTTTCCTAGGCAACTTTATCTCCCATTCTTCATTACTTTGCCAAATGTTCTTCAATTTTGCAAATCTCTACCTTACCTCACCTCTGCCCACCAACCACATGAAGATCAAGAGGAGGATGTTAGGATTTCTTTATTGGATTTCAGGTCAACTAATGGCATAGGCCACTATTCATGCATAGGATATGCACTTGAGGACTGGACAATGAATAAGGAAGAATGAAGAATTGATGCATTTGAATTACGGTGTTGGCAAAGAATATTGAATATACCGTGGACTGCCAGAAGAACAAAAAAATCTGTCTTGGAAGAAGTACAGCCAGAATGCTCCTTAGAAGCAAGGATGGCAAGACTTCGTCTCACATACTTTAGACATGTTATCAGGAGGGACCTGTCCCTGGAGAAGGACATCATGCTTGGTAAAGTAGAGGGTCAGCGAAAAAGAGGAAGACTCTCAAAGAGATGGATCGACACAGTGGCTGCAACAATGAGCTCAAACATAGCAACGATTGTGAGGATGGTGCAGGACCAGGCAATGTTTCATTCTGTTGTACATAGGGTCGCTGTGAGTTGGAAACAACTCGACAGCACCTAACAACAACAACAGATATATAACACACACACATATATTAAATATTGTGTGATACTATGCATGCATACATAATATTATACTACACACACTTATACACAAATATAAATAGTATCATCCTCATGTGCTAAGTAATATTTCATATACACAATGATAATTTTAGTTAAATTTTGTACAAAAGGAAGACCAATAGTCAATAATTTCAAATATTAGCAATAGTTATCTTCGATGGTAGGATTAAATGTGGAGTGCATTTTCTGATTTATAGTTTTAAAATTGCCAGAATTTCTACAATAAACATGTTAAATTTTAACTGAATAAAGCTATTTATAAACATTTTATAATAATTCAAATTTCTATAGTGGAAAGGTCTCCAGGGGAAAAAAAAACCCGAGCATTTTGACCTCCCCAATCAATTCACCCGCTTCCCAAAAGTTCTGAGCTTTCTAGAGTTTGTAAGACAAATTATACATATTATATTTTTCATTTTCTAAAACTCTACAATTTTTATGAGATTTGATGTCTTTTTATGTGCTCCTCTCTCAGCTGCCTCAGGAAGCTTAAAGGAAGCAAAACAGACAATACCAAAAAAACCAAACTCATTGTCATGGACTCATAGTGACCCTAAAGGACAGAGTAAAACTGCCACATAGTGCTTCCAAGGCTGTAAATCTTTACTGAAGCAGATTGCTACATCTTTCTCCCATGGAGCATCTGGTGGGTTCGAACTACCACCTTTCAGTTAGCAGCCGAGCGCTTAACCACTGCGCAATCAAAAGAGACAATACATACTAAAAAACAACCCCCCCCCACAAAACTGTAAAATACTAGCCCCAAATAATGAAATTCCGATATAGGAGTGAGTGATAAACATTTATCATCATGCAGTTTTCAGTGAGTCTGCCATGTGCTTCAAAAACTACTAAACTGAAAGATGAGATAGTGGTGGCAAATTATATTTCACAGGGCTTCAGACAGCAGCCGGTTTTCAGAAAGACACCCACCTTCACATGTGATCCAGGCTTCCTCTGCTGGCCCGGATATTCTCCACTCCCATGGGCCAGACGGACAATGCCATATGGAGACTTGCATATTAGGACACTGAATACCATCCACCCACATGAAACCAGAGCCTGTTTTATGTGAAGGGGCGAGGCTGACAACTCCATTTTCTGCACAGCCCAGCTGCCTGCACACAACCCCAGCTGTGACTGCTGTGATGTTACTCCTGCCAACGCCACCCCACGTCCCGTTGTAGAAGACCTCCAGTCTCCCAGCACAGCTCTCGGTTCCAACTTCGCTGTAGAGCCTCAAAGCTGTGAATTCTGGAGAGAAATGCAGAACCCAGTATTAAATATTTTCTCTGGAGTTTCAGAAAACTTCCTCCCTGGGGATCCAATTTTTTTGTCTTGGAAATAGTAAATTTGGGCTCAAAATAAAATTTCATAAACGATTCTAACATATTAACATAATCTATTCTATGAAAACTAAGGATCTTCTTTGATTTTAGGATTAATGTGGGTTTCCAAAGGCTGATATTTGAGCTTTAAATCTATATCAAATTAAGTTAAAATGTAACTTTTTACATTTTACTCTCTAACAGAGTAGAAAATAATACTCTCTAAAAGAGTAGAAAACAACCAGAGTTTAATCTTGTTTCTGTTATTTATCAGATTGTGTTTTTGAGTGTGTTAACTTAATGTCTTATGCCCTCTTAACACCAGCGTGGAAGGAATGAAAAGTCCCTTTCTTGGGATCTAACCTCTGATTCTAAGAAGACCACCCTAAAATTTCCTAAATTATGGAATGTTGTTATTGTTGTTAGCAGATGTTGAGTTGATATTACTCATGGTGACCCCATGTGTGCAGAGCTGAATTGCTCCATAAGGCTTTCACTGCTGTGACCTTTTGGAAGCATTTCATCAGGTCTATCTTCTGACATACCTCTGGGTGGGTTTGAACCTCCAGTCTTTCAGCTAGTAGTTCAGTGCTTAACTATGTGCCACCCACGGACTCTATTATGAAATGACACCCAGACAAATGAATGTCTTGGGAAGGGTAACAAATCAGTGTAAGAACAGGATTAAAATCAAGTTCTCAATATTCGTAGGTCAGTACACTTTTCACTATATTTTGTCTTTGTGCTTTGTCTCTCTCTCTCTGTGTGTGTGTGTGTAGAGGAGGACACAAGAATTGCAGTGTAGACCTGAGCGGGTGACCCCTGCGTCCTCCTTGTGCCTGCAATCGTGCTGCTCCCAGCCCCGGGAAGGGGCACTTCCAGAGATGAGACTCATTTCCTGTGCAGTTTAGGTCGTCCAGCCAGATGGGTCCTGATCCCTCCCCAAAGTGAGCAGAGACCGTAGCATTAATGGCCCATCCACAGCCCAGCTGCCTGCACACCACGTGGGCATCACTCAGGTCCCTGCTGTCATCACAGACAGTGCCCCAGGAGCCCTCATGATAGATCTCCACTCTCCCAGCACAGCGACCTCCTCCATTCACCAAGTGAAGCAGTTTCTTCCCTAAAAGGAGACATTAGGTCCCATTCTTTGGAGTTAATAGGTCACATTCCTTAGAGTTGCAGTTTTCCAGGACTGTTTGATTTTTCTTACCTGAGCAGTGGGAATCAATACTTGTCGAGACTTCAGACAAAGATGGGTCAGATGAACTCTCAGGGCATGGAAGCTGTGGCTGGGTCTGGTTTCCTGGTTTGAGGGGTGGCGAACAAATAGGGTAAAAGTAAGGTTGGAATACATAGAAGAGTTTGTAGAGCTCTATGATAAAGTAGAATCGGCAATCATGGTAAGGATTCTTCAAATCCTTGTGATCAATTAAAATTGTCTTTTTAAATAATGTCTACTCCCATTCCCCGTAGCCCTGGTGGTACAGTGGTTAAGAGCAACGGCTGCTAACCAAAAGGTTGGCAGTTCGAATTCACCAGCCGTTCCTTGGAAACCCTATGGGGCAGTTCTAACTCTGTCCTATAGGGTTGCTATGAGTTGGAACTAAATCGACACAGCAACGGATTTTGTCTTGTTTTGTTTTGGTTTTTTGACTCCCAAGCCCCAGCGAAGAGGTGAGTGAGTTACCTTCATCCTAAGAGTGGCCCCAGCCCATCCTTATTCCTCACATGTTACTCTTTGATTGTCATGCATAAACTCATCCCCCTATTTTCTTATCCATCTTTCCTTTAATCTCTCACCCCCTCAACCATGTAAAGGCTATTTTACCAGTAGGCGACCATAAGCTCTGGTCTCTTACCTGTGTAGGTCACAGAGACAGTGTTTCCATGGGCACATAAAGGCGCCCCTAGCACTGTCATTTGACAAGCATCCAGAAAATACTCATTCCCTAAGCAGTGAAACCTGTGTCTCCAAATATGACCACATCCTTCTTCAATATATTTTCCTTCTGTGGTTGAGAGAGCAATCCCACAGTTGAGCTGATGGCATAGGACATTGGCATCTTTCAGGTCCCAGTGGTAGTCACAGAGGGAGCCCCAGTATCTGAGCACCTTGAGCTCCACTTGCCCTTCACACTGGGATCTGCCATTCACATGTCGGGCATCCATATATCCTAGGAGGAAACGAAGCCTTAGAGAAGAGATCATGACTTTCCAACTTCATTCTCACATTTGTCCTCTCCAGCCCCAGCCAATTAAATTCATTTAAAATCTCACAAGAACAGACAACGCCAGCTTCTCTGCGGGGGTTACAAGTCTCTTCTGGATGTGGTGCTGTGGGGCACATTGCAAGGTGAGATTCATTTCCCTCACACTGGAACTTTTCATCACAAAATTGACCATTCCCTTTTCCAAAGTGAGCCCCCACAAGAGATAAGGCTTCTCCACAATTTAATTCTCTGCAAAGTGCATTGGCAGTTTGTAGAGACAAGTCAGAATCACAGACAGAGCTCCATATGTCTCCACGTTTCACTTCAACACGTCCAGAACAGGCAGTACCAGCTCCAACCAGCCGGGGCTGCCTGTGGGCTACAAATATGATTTCAGAGGTTAGTGTTTGTAGTTTTCCAATATCTAGCCTTGTCTCCGGCCTCCACACCCAACTTCAGAACACTTCTCCATTCATTATTAGAATATCCCATTTTCAGGGGAGCAGAGAATGATGTCTCTGCAGTATATCTTTAGTTTATAAGATCTGGATTACATGCTTACAATCTATGTCTTTGTGACACACTAATCCTGGATTTAGAAATCTTCTGGAGGAAAATAAACAGCACAACTTTGTATATATATTACTATATTATATATCCCACCCCCTCTGACCTGATCCTATGCCAAGATTCTCTTTGTCAAACAATGAAACTGCTGTACATCTGCTTGCTTAGTTTAGAAATGTGGGAGTCATCTTTGAGTCCTCTTATAACGTTGGGACTTACATATAATACTGACTGGTTACCTCAGCATTAAACAAGAGATATTAAGAATTGTAATCATTTTTATAAGGTGAATGGTATAATTTAAGGATAAAAGGACATCTTTATCTGCTGGTCAGATCCAAGTGAAACATCTGAGTAATTTAAAACCAACCAACCAACCAAACAGACATCCATATAAAAAATACTGCTCTGTTTCCGACCCAATCCTTTGCAGCAAAGCTATCGTATTAGTAATCTATGCTGTCTCCAACTCAGGCATTTCTCCAAACTCCTGACTCATTTATCCAACTGATAAATGAGTTTTACCAGTTCTCCACTTGGATTTCTCATAGACATCTCAAACTGAACTCTTGATGTCCCTCCAAACATGCTCTAAGGCCAAAGTCTTCCACATTTCAGTTAATAGTAATTCCATTATTCCAGATGTTCAAAAATACTGGAGTAATTCTTGACTCCTGTTACATAATATGCGGGCAGTGTTGGCTGAGTGACCTGGGTTCGATTCCCCGCCAACGCACCTCAAGCACATCTACCACTCATCTGTCAGTGGAGGCTTGTCTGTCGTTATGATGCTGAACATATTTCAGCGGAGCTTCTAGACTAAAATAAACTAGGAAGAAAGGGCTGGTTATCTTCTGAAAATTAGCCAATGAGAATTCTATGGGTCACAACAGTCCAATCCCCTTGTGCATGGGGTTGCCATAAGTCTGGGGCCGACTCAACAGCAACTAACAGCAACAACAATTACATCATATATCCTAACTTTCAGGAAATCTTGTTCTCTATATCTTCAAAATATGTCCATAATTCCAACACTTCTCACCTCTTCCATTGCTAAACCTGGACTGAACCTCCACCATCTCTTGTCTGGTTTATTTCAATAGCCTCCTATAGACTCCCTGTTTCCGTTATTGCTCCTCTACAGTATGTTTTTAATACAAAGCCAGAGAGGTCATTTAAAATTATAAATCAAATCATATCAGCCTCTGCTCAAAATCTTCCAATGGCTCCGCATTTCTTTCAGAGTAAAGGCTTAATTCTTAAAAAGGCCTACTAGTCCTGCATAACCTGCCCCTACCTCCTTACCTCTTCTGATGCCATGTCCTACTGTTCTACTGCTTGCTCTTTAGCCACACAGAAATCCTTACTGTTCCTCAAATGTATCAGGCATAATGATATTCTGGAGCTTTTGAACTGACTGTTTCCTCTGCCTGATATGCTCTTTCTCACGTGTGAAAATAGTTAACTCTTTCAGTTCCTTCAAGTGTTTGCTCAAATGTCACCTATTCAGTTAAGGCCTATCCAAATCATACTATTTGAAATTGTATTGTATCCCATACACACGCTGGATTGCATTTTTCTTTTTCTTTTTTCCTGTAGCCCTAACATCTTCTAATAATATATATTTTACTCCATTGCAGAAAGTTCTACTGATGTAGAAATGCTCTAGAATCTCTTATCATCAAAGAAACAGAACATTAAGTAAGTTCCATGGAGATCATATTTCTTTTTAACTGTCACCTTATCTATCTTTTCTCCTTTAAAGCTCAACTTTTTGAAAAATAATCTACACCTGTATCTCAGTATCTTTATGTCCCATTAACTCTGTAGCTTGAAAGCATCTTCTCTTTTCACTGCAGCAGAACTGCTTTCATTAAGTTTCCTAATAATGTCCAGGTTGCTAAGCTTTGTGGACAACATTCAATTTCATGTAGATTTTTCAACAGTTTTTTTGACAGTGTTGATATGCCTTCCTTTTTGAAATATCCCCTCCCCCTGGCTTTAGTGACATGACACTCTCTGACCACTACTACTCTTAATTACCGTTTTACAACTTCTTTTATGACGACAAATCATTAAATACTGTTATTCCACGGGACTAAGAACTCTTTTTTTCCTTGGGGCTAGATTTTTTTTTTACACTGAATTTACATTTTATTCTTAGGTTTTAGTTACCGTTCACATGTCTAAAACCAAACCAAACCCACTGCAGTCCAGTCAATTGCAACTCATAGCAACCTTATAGGACAGAGTAAAACTGTCCCATAGGGTTTCCAAGAAGTGGCTGGTGGATTTGAACTGGTGATCTTTTGATTTATATCTCTACCCGAAGCAACTTTTCTGATCACCTAATGCTTATTTATACCCAAGTTCCCATCAGTGTCTCCACTTGACTGTTTGACAGATACCTCAAACTCAACATATCCAAAAGTGAACTCATCATCCCACCCTCTCTGACCTGATCCTCTGCCAGGATTATCTTGGTCAGACAATGAAACTGCTGTACATCTGCTTGCTCACTTCAGAAATGTGGGAGTCTTCTTTGAGTGCTCTTTGTCCGTATTCCCAAATTCAATAAATTATCAAGTGTTATTGATTACAGCAGCAAAAGATTTCTTGAATCTGTAAATTGTTCACCGTCTCCACAGTATCTTAATCAAAACTTCACTAGACTCATCTAACAACATGACTTCCTGCACCCAGTAGCCTCCTCTCCCCAACTCACACACACACACACACACACACACACACTTTCTTTCTCTCAAAGTACTCTCTTTAAAATGTAAGTCTTACCATGATTACACCCTTCAATGGTTTCTCTTTCACGTTAGAATAAAGTACAAAACGCTTAATTCATAAATAAGCTTGCCCTTGCCTACATCTCAAGACTTTAATAGAGCTTTTCCCCTTTGTTCACTTAGGTCTAACACCTCTTCTCCTCAGCCATCTTTTTGTTTCTGGAATCAGACAAGCTCATTTTAAACTTTGGGACTTGAATAAAATACTACCTATTGAATAAAATACTACCTTTTCAAATGGCCTTTCCAACACTTCTTTATATGATGAAATCATACTCATGCTTCAGCTATTTCATTAAATATCATTTCACAGGAATATTCTCTGACCCTCCAAATAGGTAATATCTTCCTATTACACGTTCTCCTCTTGCATTGTACTTCTGTTTCATGGAACTTTAAATAAATGATTATTTTATTTTACATTTTCATTAAAATAACTGCATCTTTTACTAGATAGGAGGGTAGAACTACTTTTATCTAGTTCATCTTTGACCTAGTACTAATAAATAGCCACTCAATAAATATTTATTAAATAAATGACAGGGTAAATAATTGAATAAATGTATTTATCTTAGCCCAGAAATTACCTGAGCAGATCAAACTAAGATTGCTATTAAAAAGACATTTAGACTGTTTCCATGTCCAATGTGCACAATCCCAGGGAGAGGTTTCGTTTCTCGTGCAGCCAGATACAGACAGAAAGATGTGTAATGTTCTTCATGCAAAATCAGGCTTGCTGGAGGTACTGATTGCAGACCCACATCCAAGATGCCTGCAAACAACTGAAGCACTGTTCATTTCCCAGCGGTGAATACATGGGAGGGCCACAATGCCCTGGACTTTTACTTCGACTCTGCCAGCACACCTGCTGCCTCCACCCACAAGCCTCAGCTCCATATCTGATTCATCTGAAACAGAAATATCACAATGACTTTAGAAAAGCACACTACTTAAGACATTTAAGATTCTTCTCTACTCATATACCCTACCATAGGCCAATGGCCATAAGTTGGGAGATTATTCAGATCTTGACCTCTCTAGTGTGCTTAATAGTTTTATTTTCGCTTTCTTTAAAAGTTTATGCTTCTTTCTTATTGGATTAACAAAAATCACAAAAGTATCACCCAGTATGTTTCAAACTTATGAGAGTTTTTGGTTTGGAAAGAAAGGATATCATTTTGCCTACGAAATCTGATCAGAACTTGGGCTAAAAAAATGTGACTTAATGGCCCTAATTCTTTCCTGAATTTTGAAGACTTAAGATTATCTGCTAGAAACTCAGGGGAATATTAGGGAGAAGTGATATATGAGAGGAGTCTCGGTGGTGCAAACGGTTAAGCGCTTGACTACCAGCAGAAATGTTGATGGTTCACACACTCACCTAGAGGCTTGAATTGGAACTGAATCTATGACAACTGGCTTGATTTGGTTTGGATATAAGAAATCAAGGAAGAAATGCATAGGGCAATGATATTACAAAATCTGGGAAAAGTTAGAAGAAATTTGCCAGTTGTAGATACTAGATAAAAATAATTTTAAAAAGAAATTGGACCTTAGGCAAAGAAAATGTGAAATTCACTGCATGCCACAGGAGGAGTAGGCAATTTTTCAAATAATTAAGAGATTAGAAATTGATTGAGCCAGATTGAAACAGGTTTTGAATGGGATTCTTAGAAGTATTGATGTGAAATGGGAATGGGATGAACAGGTTGTAATTTATTTTAGTGTTCTGTAGCATATAAATCTGTGAAACACTTAACTAATATTTGCTGTTAATATGAAAATATATTTAATTATTTTAAGAATGTATACTTCTCTATCTAATTAAAAAATAATGGGTTCTATTAGCTTGGTTTGCATTATTTTTAATTAAAATGAAATTAATATTATTAAATATCATTCATTGACTTCGTGACATCATTCTCTCTATATGCTTCCACTTTACTAAATTATATTAATAGAGTTATTAACTTCCTGATATCGAAGGATCCGACATGTCAGAAAATAAATCCTGTTAGTCTGACTAAGTTACCTCCTCTTGGCCTTAAGAAAAAGAACAATGTAATTAACATGGTCTAGAAGGCACAGAGGAAACTCTGGTGGTGTAGTGGTTAAGTGCTATGGCTGCTAAGCAAAAGGTCAGCAGTTCAAATCCACCAGGCACTGCTTGGAAACTCTATGGAGCAGTTCTACTCTGTCCTATAGAGTTATTGTGAGTTGGAATTGACTCAATGGCAATTGGGTTTTTTTTTGGTTTAGAAGGCATGGATTGTCCACCCTTTCCTATCACTCTAGCCCCATTTCCTGCCGCTTATAACACTGCTGATTGAAATTTTACTACTATTTACTATTTTGACATAATTATGTTTGAGTGTATATGGGGTGATTCTCTATATAAACCTCACATTCAGTAGAGCAATAAAGTTGCTATGTATTTCCATTTTAAGCTTATATGTTACTCTCTGTTGCTTGGTCTCAGTGATAGAGTTTGTGGAGCAAGAGTTAAGATTTTTTCATAGTTGGCAGAGGTTTTGAAACTGTAATCAGATGAGGGTGGTAGACCAATTTTAGCAACTTTGCCATAAAAGTAAAAAAGAAATTTTAAAAATGGAACTTATTTTAGGTACTGACACGTAGAGGGCTATGTTTTTGGGGTAAATATATGTCTTGTAAGAATCCCTACAAAAACTGAGATTCCCTGAAAGGCTTTCAGGAATAGGTGAAATATTGTTGCTCTAAGTGAAGTCCTCTAAATATAGGGGAAGACATATTTCAGTGCTTTGTAGCTACTTATATCCACTCCGAGAGAGTGTTAGTGAGGAAAACAGAATTGTAATAGGTGGTTCAGCCTAAGAAGGTGATATCAGATTGACTTGTAAGTTTCCCTGAAGTAAGAAGTATGTGTGTATAATATAAGCAAACAATTATATCTCCCTGTAAAGGAGTTTTCAGTTTACAGTAACGGATATAAACAGGAAAAAGAGGGTGTGGGTAGTTTCTATGAACGAAAGCTGGGTCCCATATTCAGGAACCCTGAACTCTCCTAGTGAAAGACATATTGATATTCATGGCCTCTGGAGAGGAGAACTTCTCTTTAATAGAGGATAGTTTAGTGGCAGAATAAGGTTCCAGAAAACAGTGGCAAAATTCAGCCTTGAAGATCTTCATCTGAAGAAGGTTTGTGATAATCTGCAAATCATAAGTATAAATCTACCTAAATTGAAAGGCTGAATAGAAGGGTGGAAGCTTAAAAGGCATATTTTAAATTTATACTGGAGATTAATAATTCTTTAAAACATAATTCAATGTCTTAGCCACTCATCTCAGAAAAGAAGATATAAGGTAAGAGATAAAGATGTCGGAATTGACTGAAAATAAGGGAAAATCAAAAAAAACAAAATCAAATCAGTTGCCGTTGAGTCAGTTTCAACTCATATGGACCCTATAGGACAGAGTAGAACTGCTCCATAGGGTTTCCAAGGCTATAATCTTTATGGAAGCAGACTGCCACATCTTTCTCCTGCAGAGCAGCTGGTGGGTTCAAACAGCCGACCTTTCAGTTAGCAGCCAAGTGCCAAGACTAACAAAATACTGTATAAGCATCTGGGAGTTCATCTCTTCTAAAATTGTACTACATGGATAGGTACATATAGAATTTTTCTTTGTACCATTTGAAAGTTGTCTAATAAAAACTTTAGCCTTGGAGAAGGTATCTGCAAGCCAATTCTTCCCATTTAAAAGAACAATATAAACCACAAGCCCAGGCCTTTAGATGAGGTTTAGTTGTTCTATTGTTATCAGTACCAGTATTATTTAAATAAATTTTTCAAGTAAACATGAGTATTTGGGAATCTTGGGAAAGGATTTTTAATACGTGGGTGTTTTAACACAAGTATTTAGTGTTTAAGTGACTGACTCTGATTAATTTGTCCTAAACTGATTTGACTATGGATAACTAACTTAATTTTTTTTTTTTTGTAGAATACCTTGTGATACTTCTGCCTAGCAAACTTAACTTTGGGAAAATGTGGATAAATATCAGAATATTAGATTTCATTTCATGAGGAAAAACAGGTTTGATCCTATGTCAAGGGACATTACAAATCTGAATTGAGGATATGAAGGATGATTAGTTTTGAAAAAGTGAGAAATGAGTACTATACCAGGAATGCACCTATCAAGAAAAAAAATGAGTATGCTAGAGAGCCCAGCACTTTCTTTTGTAGTAAATCCCAGTTTGAGTGTCTTACCAATACAAGTCACTCCAACATCGTCTTCATGAGTGCAGTCATGATTTCCCCACCCACGGTGCCTGCATTCCCAGAGAGCTGACTCATCTCCATAACAGGAAACATCATCCAGCCAAATTTTTCCAATCCCTATAAAAGCATTTCCCAGACCACTGCCAATGATAGAAGATGGACATTCTAGCTGGCCACACACCACAGCAGCATCAATATCGTCACAATTGTCATTGCATACTATGCCCCACTCTCCTGCAAATTTCACCTCCAGTCTTCCTGAACACCGGCCATTGCCATCTGTCAACCTCAGATTCCCATGTGCTTTATCTGCACAGAAAACAATGGGAGAGTTTGAAATTAGAAATAAACTGACATAAAAAGACTGTAAGGAACCTAATCTGAGGTGAAAAGAAAGTCATTTATCTTAATGCACAGAAGTGGTTTTCAAACATCATCAGAAGACAAGTAAATCCATGAAGAATAAGCAAAGCGTCTAGGAATGTCACAGGGCTTCAACGGATAATTTTATTTTAGATTTTCAGGTCATCTGACTTCTATAAAAATGTCATTCTGTAGACAATCAATGAACCTCTCCACTTTACTCAAACCCACAATCTTAATTTTCTACTACCAAATACTTGAAATTATATGCATCCCATTTTTCTTTTGCTCCTTGTAGCTTCAATGTCTTCCTCTCCTAACATGGTCCAAAATACATTTAAACATGCTGAAGGTATCCCATATTACCAAAACAAACAGACAGTCAAGCTCACACTTCTCTTGGTCACATATCACTCCTCAGCCTGATGCCTTTTCAGTCTAGTCCAGGGTTTCTCAACGTTGGCACTGTTGACAGTTGAGGCTGGATAATAATGTTTTGTGTGTGGGAGGAGGGCTGCCTGTGCATTGTAGAATGTTTAACAGCCTCCCTGACCGCTACCCACCAGAGGCCAGGAGCACCTCCCCAGATGTGGCATCCAAAAAATGTCTCTAGACATTGCCAGATATCCCCAGGGTTGAGAACGACTGGTCTAGCCCAACTGTCAGCTAAGCTCCTAAAAAGAGTTGGTTAGACTTGCTTTCACTCCCTGATTTCTAAATCTTGAAGATTTCTAAACTGTTATCCCTTCACCAAATCTTCTTTCACCAAGTTCATCCATAACTTCTTCCTGGCTAAACACAACAGATGGATAGTAGTTTTTATCTTATTTACCATCTTTGTAGCACTTGACATTCTTGACCACTTAACTTTTGAAACATCCTCTTCTTACCTAGTTTCTGACACAACTTTCTCCTGTCTTTCTGAATTTATGCTTATTTTTCTGCTAGTCTCATACTGGGTTTTCTTTTCTTTTTCTTTCTTCTCTTTCCCTCCCTCCCTCCTCTCCTTGCTTCTCTTCCTTCCTTTCTTCTTTTGACTCATTTTACTTGGTCCATGCCTTAAGTGTGTTATTCTAAGGGGCTGTCTTAAGACCTTTTGTTTTCACTTTCTCTGGAAGATTTTGTTCACGTCTGTGGTTCCATTACATCTATTTTCCCATCTAGATCTCTCTTCTGAACAGCTGGTATATGTATCTAATTATCTTCTGGATGTCTCACAGGTAAATTAAATTCTACATGTTTAAAATTATGTTCATGAGCCACCTTCCATCCCTAAAGTCTGCCTTTCCTCCCACGTTAAACATTTCAGTAAATACAACCATTATTTACTATTTATGCCTGACTCCTTTTTCTCTCTGGTCTATCACATACAATCATTCATAAAATCCTACTGTTTCTAACATATAGAAATAACAACTCTTTATTCACTTCTCCATTCTCTCTCACTTGGGCTACTGGGCAAGCCACCCCTCTCCTCCCACTGATCTCCTTGCTTCTAGTTGTGCTCCCACTCAAATCCTTTCTCCAAACTGCAGTAAGCATGACCTATCTTAAATAGAGATCTGAGCACATTTAGTTTTCTGCTTATCTCACTCAAATTATTTTCCATTGCCCTTAGAATAAGACCCAAACTCTTTGTCATGGTTTAAAGGCTGTACATGAACTGGATCCTGCTTTTCTCTCTTGTCTTACCTCTAGTCACTGCTTCTCCACATAATGAACTATAATTCAAACAGGTATTTGAACAACTCTGGGCTATTACACATAATCTTCCTACTGCTTGAACACTCCCTTTCCCCAGAAACACACGCACACACACACACACACACCACACACACTTTGCCTGAACAACTTCTCCTTATCTTCAAATGTCATCCAGATGTTTCTTTCCAGTAAGCCTTGCTCAAGAGTCCCAGCTCATTTCCTGACATTTCCCAATGCAGCTATCAAGCCCAAGCCAAGCCCATTGTCATCAAGTCGATTCCGACTCATAGCGACCCCATAGGACAGAGTAGAACTTCCCCATAGGGTTTCCAAGGAGTGGCCAGTAGACTCAAACTGCTGACCTTTTGGTTAGCAGCTGAGCTCTTAACCAATTCCCTCTATTATGTTTCTAACCAAATAGTATTTTCCCAATACTACCATAGGTTCCTTTATTTTCTCCTATTATGTCTCTTACCAAACAGCCTTTTATGTCTCCCTTTCTTAACAAACTCTAAACTGCAAAAGGATGTGGGATGTTTCCAGAATATAAAAGGCCCTTACTACATATTTTTGGATGAATACATCATCTGAATTAGTCTCTGATACCATAAACATTTCTGTGTGAGCTAAGAGAATAAGGTAATTACCAGGAAATAAGCCATCCTTAATAATAATGATGTTGTATGGAGAAATTGTAGAAAAAAATCAAATTATCTCTTTTCTTTGTGGTCAAAATTCAATTGAATTTTTCTGTCCGTTAACAGCCTGAGGAACAGAGTACAGTATCAGTCACTTTATATCATATGGGAATAACTAGTGGGAATGACTGATTTGGATTGCTTATAAGTACCAGAAATTTCCAGCATTCTCATACCAGCAGAGAAGCACTGAAATACAATCTGAAATTTAAATACGGATGGTGTCAGAGATTTCTGAGTCTGTAATAAATTTATGGCTACCATGTTGAAATCAGCAGGTGGATGGAAATTCACAAGTCTGGTACGTATACCTCCTTTGAACTCTTCCCCAGAACCTATGAGTGGGGCATGACAGTTTTCAAACCTGATTTTCAAATATTTGAAGAAGAATCCAGACAGTAAGTTTAACTTATAAAAACTATAGAAATGTTAAAAATATAAATTACCTAACAAGAAAAAATTTCTTACTATTTAGCTAATTTATATTAAATGTTTCATTAAAATGATTTAGTTATTATAAAAATTCATTTTCAGAAAAATTCCTCTTTGGGTGGATAATGGTGCTCTAAATAATGATACTGATTTAAAATGTGTAAGGATATATCCACAGAGCCCTGGTGGTGCAGTGGTTAAAAGCTTGCTAACCAAAAGGTCGGCAGTTTGAATCCACCAGCTGCTTATTGGAAACCCTATATGGCAGTTCTACTCTGTCCTATAGGGTCACTTTGAGTAAGAATCGACTTGATGGCAACAGGTTTGGTTTTTGGTAAGGTTATATACTCATTAAAATGAATACAGTGTTTGAAAAAGGCAAGTGTTTAGATTTCCTTTTAGAAAATGTTATGAAGCTATGAATACAGTTTATTTTGAAATGCTTGGGTTAGTGACAATAGATATAAAATAAAGGGCTTGTTCAAGTTATTAAGAAATTTATTTTTAAAAATTGAGTTAATGATTAAATAATTAAGAAATGTTACAGAAGTATAGTTATCTGAATTTTGAATAATATCAAACAAATACGATGACTTTCCTCGTATCTCTGACACACTCATGGCTCGTAGTATTCCTACTGGATTCAATAAAGATCCCTGAACAGGATGGAAAACACACTGGACTTGTGGGGCAGTAAGAAAATAATTCCTGGAATTTATGTAGGTGCCCAGATAACCAAGTAATATCTGTTAGCCCTGGATTATCACTGCAAAAATATTTCCGCTCTTTAATTCAAATGTATTTCTTCAATTCTTTCTTTCCTTCTTTTAACGCTACTGGGCAACTTCTGATTAGATAATCTTCAAAAACTATAAAGCTATAGATATCAGATGTTTTAAGATCAAGGCTGAGAATATAAAGGGGACTGGTGGCGCAGAGGTTAAGAGCTATGGCTGCCTACCAAAAGGTTGGCAGCTCGAATCCACCAGCTGCTCCTTGGAAACCCTATGGGACAGTTCTACTTTGTCCTGTAGGGTAGCTATGAGTCAGAATCAACTTGATGGCAATGGGTTTTTACAAGCAATAAGCAAGGCAAAAGTAGAATATAACGATTTCTCTCTTCAGACAAGAGGCTTTTGCTAGAATTTTCTGATTTAACTGTTATAATTTCTAACTGGATGTCCCCTACTATAAAACCCATGGATTTTTCTTCCCTTCTATTCTACCTCCCCTATAGGAAGTTCTATTCCTATCATGGGTACTATTTCTTTTGTCAGGACAGAATAAAAAAAGAACAAACAGTACCTAAACAGGACACTATTACATCTTCTCTGTGAACACAGTTATGCTTTCTCCATCCACGGTGTTTACAGTAGCAGAGGGGTGACTCATTTCCAATACAAGAAACATCATCCAGCCAAATAGGTCCAGATGTTTCCTTCAAATGGGTCATATGAAATAAATGGACAGGATTCCCACATCCCAATTGTATACACACAACCGCTGCATTCTTTGTGCTCCATTTGTCCTGACACGCAGTCCCCCATTCTCCTTGGTTTTTCACCTCCAATCTCCCGTAACAATGACCATCTCCATCCATGAGTCTTCTGTCCAGATCTGACCCATCTGCAAAGCAAGACAAAACCACTTGTATGAAATAGAGATCTAATTGAGAGGGTCTTTGCAGAAAACTAAAGGTGATATTTCCTTCAGCTTCTAAATTTACCCACTCTTAGACTTCAGCCTAATAGACGATTTACTGGGCATATTTCTTGATGAAAAGTTTGCTTTTCATTCTTGTGATAATTTCTTATTCAACTTTTGGAAAAAGAGTGTCCCTATATCATGAAACTAAAGGAAATTTACTGAAGTAAAATCTGAGGTTATTATAAAGCCTCCCAGAGTGACTGATTTGGACAATATGAGCAGTGTGGAATCATGGGCAGGACATTTTCAAGGCGTGGATATATTCAGAAGATAAAAGCTCTGGTAAAGTTCTGTAGTGGAGTCCGGTATTGGCACTAAGGCTCATCCCCTGACAGTCTTCATTTTAGTTTGTCTACTAATGTCTTATGTGGTAAAGGAAGGTGAAAGTAAATGAAAAAAGTCCTTTCACGAACTATTTTTTTTGTCTTGATCTTTCCAAGGTTCAAAGAGAGTCTTTGAACCTGAGAAATATTTTCTAACTAGCTAGTAATATTAGGTATAATATAATAATATTTTTTTTGTCTTGATCTTTCCAAGGTTCAAAGAGAGTCTTTGAACCTGAGAAATATTTTCTAACTAGCTAGTAATATTAGGTATAATACTTTATAACGGACCACTTTGAAAACATAAAAAAATTCAATTGCTTTACTGGGTATATGATTAAGACAACAGCTTTATGTATATACAATAATATTGCATTTTCCTCAACATAGTGTATATATGTGTTTTCTAATTTTTTTTCCTAATATAGTATTTAATGGCTTCATAGTATCTCATCTAATGGGTGTTCTGGAAGTTGTTTAATCAGTACCCAATTCTTGGTTATTTATATTATTGATAATTTCTATTTTCATAAATTATGTTGCCATGAACATTCTTGTACATAAAGTTTTGAGTGTGTCTCCAACTATTTCCAGGAAAAACATAACGGAAACCAATGTACTCAATGTAGGTTAAATATATGTATGTATGTATGCAGGTAATATGACAATATGACTTAATATAAATAATCTCTATGTATAATTGTATAAATGTATAATTCATAGGAACAAAGCTAATTTTAAAAATTCCTAAGGCAAATAAAAGAAATACATAAGTGAAGTAATATATCCTCTTCCAGTGTAGGATAACCAGATACTGTAATGATATAATTTTTCCCCAAATCAAATCAATTCATGTATTTAACACTGCCTTAAAAACAATTCCAATTTTAACCTTTATTTGGAAGAACAAGTATGAAAGAATAGCAAGAGAATTTCATGAAAAATGAGAATAATTAGGGGCTATATACTTCAGTATGTATTTTTTAAAATATACTTTAGCTTTTAGTGTAGTTTTAGGTTTACGAAAAATTGCATAGAAAGTAAAGAGAGTTCCCATATACCCCCCTTCACCCTCTCATTTTTCCCATTCTTCTTGCATTAGTGCGATACATTTGTTACAATTGATGAACCAATATTGACACATTATTTTAAACTAAAGTCTATATTTTACATTAGGATTCACTCTTTGAGTTGCAGAGTTCTATGGATTTTGACAAATGCATAACTTTGTGTTACATCATTACAGTATCATACAGGATAGTTTCACTGCTCTAAAAATGCTCTGTGCTCCATCGATTCACCCCTTACTTCTCTTTCCCTGACCTCTGGCAACCACCAATCTTCTTACTGTTCCAATAGTTTGTTTCTTCCAGAATGTGATATAGTTGGAACCATATACTATGTAGGCTGGCTCATTTAGCAATATACATTTGATATTCCTTTATGTTTTTTCATAACTTGATAGCTCATTTCTTTTTATCACTGAATAATATTCCACTGTATGGATGTACTACAGTTTGTTTATCTATTCACCTGTTGAAGGACATCTAGGTTGCATCCAGCTTTGGGTGATTATGAATAAAGCTGTAATAAACATTTGTGTCCAAGTTTTTATATGGACATGTGAAGAGATTGTGGAGAACTAGTATTATTTCTTCTTTAAATGTTTAGTAGAATTCACCAGCAAAACCAACTGGGCCAGGTGCTTTCTGTTTTGGAAGGTTGTTAATCGTTTATTCAATTTTTAAAATGGATATATGCCTATTCAGATTATCTGTTTCTCCTTGTGTGAGTTTTGGCAGATTTTGTCTTTCAAAGAATTGGTCCATTTCATCTAAGTTATCAAATTTATGGGCATAGAGCTGTTCATAATCTTCCTTTATTATCCCTCTAATGTTCATGGAATCAGTAGTGATGATTCCTCTTCATTTCTGATATTAACAATTTTTGTCTTCTCTCTTTTTTTCTTGGTTAGCCTGGCTAAAAGCTTATCAATTTTATTGATCTTTTTTGAAAAAAACTAGCTTATGGTTTCATCTATTTTATCTATTTATTTCCTGTTCTCAGTCATTGATTTCTGCTTTAATTTTTATTATTTTTCTTTTGCTTACTTTGTATTTAATTTGCTTTTCTTTTTTGAATTTCATGAGGTAGAAGCTTAGTTTATTCATTTTAGATCTTTCATATTTTTTAATACATGCATTTAATGCTATAAGTTTCCACCTCCCAACAACTTATTCCTGAGAATTCAAATTCTTACACTTTATGATCTTTGAACCTTACCAGAACAGGTCACTCCAGCATCTGATCTTCGGGCACAATCTTCCTTAGCTTTTTCATCATATATGCAGTCCCAGAGAGCAGATTCATTTCCAGTATGAGAGATATTGTTTATCCAAATTTCTCTAGATTCATTACTAGGTTTAGCATGGCTACTGCTATGGACAACAAATGGACATCCTAGTTGTTCACAAACGACAGTGGCTTGTTCATCATTCCATCCATTGCTACATATTGTCCACCACAGTCCATGCATTCTGACTCCTACTCTCCCTGAGCAATTGCTGCTTCCATCTACTAGCCTCAGGTCCGAATCTGCTCCATCTAGAACAAAGTTACAGGAAAACATCTGGGCTGGGTTTAGAACAGGGTCATTCACTTGCTGCCATCCCTCATAATCTTATGAAGATTAGATGTATCCTTTATGTACTGAGAAAAGTAAATAACAAGAACGCAGTTTGTTTTGGAATTTCAACAAAAAGAATTCAATATTGAAGTGTATGTCATTTTTTTTTGGAAATAGTCTTCAATATGGAAATTGAAATTATAAACCTTTAGTTTGCAAAATATATTTGTTGTAGGAAATGGAATTTGTTCACTTAAGTTGTAAATACACTGTAATTTTTTGATCTATCAAAAATATACTGTTACTTCTTCATCTTACTGTGGCTGCTTTTTCATGCATGTGAGTAGATAGATTTAGTAAGTCTAAGGAAATGAAAATGTGGAAAATTATTCCTTGCAATAATTGAGGAAAGGAGATACAATTTCCATGTTTTTTCTCTTCCCATGATTCCAGCTTTTTGTACATTAATTAGAAAAATGTTTTTTACTACTTGGTGCAAAATTTGATCCACTTTGAATAGGTTAGTCTTGGGAAATTTAGGGGTTTATTTTCTTATAAAAACATGTGAGTCACAATGATAATACTAATCATACCTGTACTATCGAGCACTTCCTGATTGCCAGGCATATTTCAGCTACTTTCCCACCATTATTTTATTTAATTCCACTATCCTATTCACAATAGGAGAAATATGCAGCTTAGACAGATTCATTTTGTACAGGTTCCCATAATTATCAAGTGACAGATTCCAAACTGTAAACTGTATCTGTTAGATAACAAAATTCCTATGAATATAGGGTAGAGGAGAAGACCAGTGTACCTAACTACCCATCTTACCATGCATTGACCATACACATCTGTCCTCACTGTTGGGACTGTTCTCCAGCTTTATTTTTCACCTACCTCCCTTCAGGGCCCTCCCTTGCTCTTTCAGAGACACATAATTCTAGAGATTCCAGAGTATGGATAGCAACTGTTCTTAAAGTTAAGGATATTGTGTCAAGTCAGAAGTACACTGTTATGAATTCACTTTATTGTAAGTATATTTATGCTAAATCAAACTGATTAAAATTTTCTCTCTCTTTCCTTCTCCTCCCTTGTTCCCTCTCATTTCCTTATATGTTACTCTTCTCTCCCCCACTCCTCTTCTCCTTCTCTTTCTGAAATGATGAATTGATTAAGTATACTGTGGGAAACTCTCTTGCAGAGTGGAAGTGTTTGGTCCCTAAATAAAAGATTTAAGTGAACTGGTATAAAAAGAAAGAAAAAGACTAAATTATATGAATTTCCTGAATGTATTCCCTTGCCCAAATAGCCTATGAAGAAGATTTTGGGTCTTTGGCTAGTGGAGAGCTATTGTAGCCAATAATTGTCTATATGTTTTTCTATGTGCACATGCCCCTGTTGTATGCTTTAGACTTAACTCTGTTTAAAAGCTACAGCCAGATCTCAAACTACACAGGAAATATTACAAAGGCATCCTGTGTGTGGGCCAGTGGGGTAGGGTTAGTAATAATTTACTTAAGAGGCATACTTCATCATGCCAAAGGTGACTCTTTCAGGAAAATAGTTGAGTCTACATACAGAGATTCTTTCATAAGAATCCTAGAAGATGGAGGTTTAATTTTATTAAGAAAGTGGACAAGTTCTCTTACAGCTTTCGATAAAGAATACTGATGAGGTAAATACTGAGGGAATATTTTAAACTCTGATCATACAAAATTATAAATAAACAGCAGGGGGAAAAGGTGTTTGTATTCAAAAATCCAAATCTAGAAAAGAAATGATTACAGTACAAGGTATAAAGTAATTAGCAAAGTCATGAGTTTTTAGATACTCAACAAAAACAGTTTATTGTAGTGAGAAAAGGTGCTAATATGAACTTAATTATTACATTATATAGAAATATTTTTAAGTTTCTATAACTATACTAGGAGATTAGAGAATATGTTTTTAAAATTATACTGGATTTGAATATAAACCGTACACTTGTTCAGACTAATAGCAATTTTGACTGGATTGGATATTTTGTTGAACCAATCAGAATTAAGTAAAATTGTGTCAGAGGCTATAAATCTCATTCCCAAGAAGGGAGGTTCACAATGCAATGGGCCCAAAAGACATGTAACATATTCTCTGAGGAAAAATTAAATGTGCCAATTCCTACATATCACATTGGTTGTGATTTCTTCAGGGTTTGGTCCTATCTCTTCAATAGAGGTATTTTATCTGATGCAGTCATATGGATATAGGTCTTACCTGAGCAGATCACAGACACATCTTTATGGTGAAGACAATTATGATTTTCCCATCCAGAATGTCTGCAGTCCCAAAGAAAAGATTCATTACTGAAGCAAGAGACATCGTCATACCATATAGGACCAGAACCTGATCCTAAATGAGGCAAGCCAGGGAAGCCAAGCACTGTTCCACATCCCAACTGCTTGCAAACTACATCAGCAGCAGCATGGTTCCAGTTACGGTTGCATATGGTACCCCACATTCCTTGAACGTTCAACTCTACTCTCCCCACACAGTGGTTACTTCCTCGCACAAGCCTCAGATCTAGAGCAGCCCCATCTGAAACAGAGATACAAACAAAAAGCTCAGGTGATGTTTTGGTTAGACACTTTAGACTCAGATCTTTGTATATCCACTTATATAAAATCTGCCTAAATCCAGCATACAGAGCTCAGAATTCACCAAACTGGAAAGACTGGTGAATCCACAGACTTCAGGAAGGTATCCCAAAGGTTATACTCCTAGAAGCAAGGAGTAGGAATAGACCAACTTTTGTGGGAATGGAAGTATATGTTCAAATTATCTCTATGATTGAATAATGGTTGTCTAAAATTGCTTCCTGTATAAAACATGAGATAAGATGGAACGCCAATTATCTTTATAATTTTTCATAAATCATGTACATCATATCTCATAAATAATAAAAGTATGAGGAGATAACACGATAAAAAAAGAAAAAAGAAAATCAAAAGACACAAACCGACTGGAGTTATCAGAAACAGTTTTTAAATTACCGTACTTAATAGGTCTAACAAAATAAAAGACAAAACTGTAAAGTTTGGCAGAGAAATAAAAACTGTAAAAAGGAACCAAATGGAGATTCTAGAACTGAAAAACCCAATCACTAGTTAAAAACACAACAGCTGGGTTTAATAGTAAATTCATCACTGAAAGAGAAAGTATCAGCGCCTACACACAGAATCAAGTACAGAGTCAAATGTATAGAAAATATGGGAAAAAGGGTTTAAGAAGCATAGGGGATAAAATAAGAAAACCTAATATATGTGTAATTGTAGTCCCAGAAGGTGAGAAGAGAGAGGATGTAGTAGAAGAAATATTTGAACATACAGTAGTTAAGAATTTTCCAAAAACGAAAAATTTACAAATATAGTCACAAACTCAAGAGGCACCATGAACTGTAAGCAAGAGAACTACAAAGAAAATCATACCTAGGCACCTATCCACCCACTGCTGTGGAGTCATTTCCGATTCATAGCTACCCAACAGGGTTTCCAAGGCTGTAAATCTCTATGGAAGCAGACTGCCACATCTTTCTCCCATGGAGTCTCTGGTGGTTTTGAGCCGCTGACCTTTCAGTTAGCAGTTGATTGCTTTAACCACTGTTCCACCAGGTGTCCTTTAGCTAGGCACATAATGGTAACATTTCTGAAAACCAATGACATAGAAAAAGAAAACTTTAAAGTAACCAGAGACATAAAAAGACATTATCTTCAAAGAAAATACAATAAGAAGGACAGTTCACTTTTTGGTAGAAAGATGACATTCATATAAAATGGAATACCTTCAGTGTTTTAAAAGGAAATGAATACCAACCTAGAAAATAACCAGCCAAAATCATCTTCAAAAAAAAGGACTAAATAAAAACTGAATTTGTTACCAGAAAATCTACATTAAGGAAGATAATAAAGGCTGTTCTTCACACAGAATACAAATAATTCCAGATGAAAGATCAACAATGCAAGAACTATTCAATATTAATGAAAAGGGAAAATCTAAATGAATAATAAAACAATAAATTCTTCAGAGATCTTGTGTATATTCTCTATATTATTATATTACATTACTATATGTAATTACATATTATGTATATTATTTATCTTTAGAATCTGATTTTTCCAAAGACAGAGTTCAATTGATTGAAAATCAGTATTTGTATAGGATTCCAGAATACCTATAGAATTCTGAGATAATTCTTAAGAGTGATTTTCTTTTTTAAAGAATAAATAATCATGAAAAATTTGAACTGTTTTTCATTTTTTGGTTTTCATGGGTTGGTAGTCTTACCAGAACAGATAACTCCAGCAGCCAAATTATTATAACAATTATTTTCTCCCAATCCATGGTATTTGCATTTCCAGAGCGCTGACTCATTTCCAAAGCAGGACATATCATAAACCCAGATTTTCTCAGATGAAACAGTAGCATTAGGATAAAAATTTGTGTGAATCACAGAGGGGCAACCCAGCTGATTGCAAACAATAGCAGCATCATTAGTATCCCATTTATGATGACACACAGTTCCCCACTGATCGTAGACTTTGATATTCACCACTCCTTCACCTTGGTTACTTCCATTCACCAGCTTTAACTCCACATCCTTTTTATCTGCAAAACAGACGTAGGTCTAAGTCATAAGTGAGACCAAGAAGTCTCAGGCTTCTTGGGTCTGAAAACATCTTTCATTTACTTATTTCCATAGAACGTTTCTTCTTAACTCAAGGACTCATGGCTCTAATGCTATAACATTGTCCTCTCAATTCATTTTACGAGAAATGGCTGTTACTTCAGCTCCAGAACAAAGGAAACTCACAAAAAATGGTGTGTTTTATTCACGTAAGGCAACATATCTTTTGGCTTAAACTTTTAAGATTTACTGTCTGCCTTAGTCATCCAGTGCTTCTATAACAGATATACCACAAGTGGATGGATTTAAAAAAGACTTTTATTTTCTCACAGTCCAGTAGGTTAGACATCCAAATTCACGGCACCAGCTCCAGGGGAAGGCTTTATCTCTCTCTGTTGGCCTTCTCATCAACCTTCCTCTGGACTAGGAGCTTCTCCGTGCAAGGACCTTGGGGCCAAAGGACACGCTCTGCTCCCTGTCCTGCTTTCTTGGTGATATGAGGTCCCCCATTCTCTGCTTGCTTCCCTTTCCTTTTATCTCTTGTAAGATAAAAGGTGGTGCAGGACGTACCCTAGGGAAACTCCCTTTACATTGGATCAGGGATGCGACCTTAGTAAGGGATACAATCCCACCCTAATCGTCTTTAACATGAAATTACAATCACAAAATGGAGGACACCACACAATACTGGGAATCATGGCCCAGTCAAATTGATACACACATTTTTTGGGGGACATAATTCAATCCATAACATTGTCCACTGGAGGGAAATAGGTCTCCTAGGAAAGAGATTTGAGGGGAAATCTGGGGGACAACTTCATATGCTGTATTTTGCAGGATACTAAATTATATAAGTAATTGAAAAACTTTCCATGATATGATCCTTGGCCAGTGGAGAAAAATAGGGTTGAAGTAAGCTTGTCATAAAGAACCATTTGAAATGGAAAATGATGGAAATTCCATGGATTGAAAGACAGACCATTTGTGTACATGTAACTAAAATATTTTAGAAACATACAATCCATAATCACAATGATATGGTTGTAATCTCAAAAAGGAAAGGCTAAAATATGTTGTAAAAGGAAAGACTGTTGCACACTGTCTGGCAATTTTTATTTATTTAGTTGTACTTTAGATGAAGGTTTACAGAACAAACTAGCTTCTCATTAAATAGATAGTATGCATATTGTTTTATGACCTTGATTAACAACTCCATGACATTTCAGTACTCTCCCTTCTTGACCTGGGGTTCCCTATCACCAGCTTTCCTGTCCTCTCTGCCCTTCTAGTCCTTGCCCCTGGGCTGGTGTGCCCCTTTAGTCTTGTTTTGTCCTATGGGCCTGTCTAATCTTTGGCTAGAAGGTGAATCTTAGGAGTGACTTCATTACTGAGCTAAAAGGGTATCCAGGGGCTATACTCTCAGGGTTTCCCTGTCAGGCCAATAAGTCTGGTCCTTTTTTGAGTTAGAATTTTGTTCTACATTTTTCTCCAGCTCTGTCCAGGACCCTCTATTGTGATCCCCATCAGAACAGTCAGTGGTGGTAGCTGGGCACCATCTAGTTGTACTGGACTCAGTCTGGTGGAGGCTGTGGTAGTTGTGGTCGATTAGTCCTTTGGACTAATCTTTCCCTAGTGTCCTTAGTTTTCTTCATTTTCCCTTGCTCCTGAAGGGGTGAGACCAGTTGAGTATCTTAGATGGCTGCTCACAGGCTTTTAAGACCCCAGATGCTATTCACCAAAGTAGAATGTAGAACATTTTCTTTATAAACTATGTTATGCCAATTGAGCTAGATGTTCCCTGAGACCATGGTCCCCACATCCCCCAGCCCAGTAATTCAGTCCCTCAAGGAGTTTGGATTTGTCCATGGAGCTTCCATGACCTTATCCTGAACAAGTTGTGCTGGCTTCTCCGTATCATGTATTGTTTTACCCTTCACCAAAGTTACTACTTATCTATGTTTGTTTAGTGTTTTTCCACCTCCACCCCTCCCCTCCCTTGTAATCATCAAAGATTGTTTCTTTTTGTGTGTAAACCTTTTCATGAGTTTTTACAGTAGTGGTCTCATACAATATTTGTCCTTTTGAGATTGACTTATTTCACTCAGCATAATGCCCTGCAGATTCATCCATGTCGTGTGATGTTTCACAGAGTCATCACTGTTCTTTACCGTCGTGTAATACTTCATTGTGTGTGTGTACCATACATCTGTTGATGGGCATCTAGGTTGTTTTCATCTTTTTGCTATTGCGAACAATGCTGCAATGAACATGGGTGTGCATATGTCTATTCGTGTGATGGCTCTTATTTCTCTAGGATATGTTCCTAGGGGTGGGGTTGCTGGATCCTATGGTATTTCTATTTCTAGCTTGCTAAGGAAGCTCCATATCGTTTTCCAAAATGGTTGTACCATTTTGCATTCCCACCAGCAGTGCATAAGGTTCTAATTTCCTCGCAGCCTCTCCAAAATTTATTTTCAGTTTTTTTGATTCGTGCCAGTAATGCTAGGGTGAGTTGGTATCTCATTGTGGTTTTGATTTGCATTTCTCTAATGGCTAGTGATTATGAGCATTTCCTCACATGTCTGTTAGCCACTTGAATGTCTTCTTTGGTGAAGCATCTGTTCATTTCCTTCACTCCTTTTTTAATTGGATTATTTGTCTTTTTGTTGTAGAGGTGTTGGATTTTCCTAGATTTTAGAGATTAGAACTTTGTCGGATTTGTCATAGCTAAAAATTTTTTCCCAGTCTGTAGGTTCTCTTTTAACTCTTTTGGTGAAGTCTTTTGATGAGCATAAGTATTTAATTTGTAGAAGATCCCAGTTATCTAGCTTATCTTCTGGAGTTTGTATGTTGTTAGTTATGGTTTGTATCTTGTTAATGCCATGTAAAAGGGCCTATAGCATTTTTTCTTCTATGATCTTTATAGTTTTTGGCTTTATATTTAGGTCTTTGATCCATTTTGAATTAGTTTTTGTGCATAGTGTGAGATACAGGTCCTGTTTTTTTTTTTTTTTTTTTGCAGATGGACATCCAGTTTTGCCAGCTCCATTTGTTAAAAAGACTGTCTTTTCCCCTTTTGATGGACTTCAGGCCTTTGTTGAAGATCAAGTGACCATACGTGGTTGGATTTACATCTGGTTTCTCGATTCTGTTCCATTGGTCAATGTATCTGTCCCTGTACCAGTACCAGGCTGTTATGACTACTGTAGCTGTATAGTAGGTTCTGAGATCAGGTAGTGCAAGCTATCCTACCTTATTACTCTTCTTCAATAGTGCTTTATTTATCTGAGGCCTCTTCCTTTTCCATATAAAGCTAATGATTGTTTTTTTCATCTCTTTAAAGAATATTGTTGGTATTTGGATCCTGATTGCATTGTATTTGTAAATTACTTTCGGTAGACTGTCATTTTCACAATGTTGAGTCTACCTATCCATGAGCATGGTATGTTTTTCCATTTATGTAGATCTGTTTTGGTTTCTTGCTATAGTGTTTTGTAGTTTTCTTTGTATAAGTCTTTTACATCCCTGGTTTGATTTATTCCTTAGTATTTTACTTTTTTAGCAGCTATTATAAATGGTATTGTTTTCCTGATTTCCTTTTCATCTTTCTCTTTATTGGTGTGTAGGAATCCAACTGATTTTTGTGTGTTTATCTTGTATGCTGCTACTCTGCTGAATCTTTCTATTAGGTCCAGTAATTTTCTCATGGAGTCTTTAGGGTTTTCTATATATAGTATCACATCATCAGCAAATATGAGCAGTTTTACTTCTTCATTACCAACTTGGATGCCCTTTATTTCTTTTTCTTTCCTTATTGCTCTAGCTAGGACTTCCAGCATGCACAATGTTAAAATAGGGGTGGTGATAAAGGACATCCTTTGTCTTGTTCCTGTTCTCAAGTGGAATGTTTTCAGCCTCTCTCCATTAAGAATGATGTTGGCTATTGGTTTTGTATAGATGCCCTTTATTGTGTTGAGGAATTTCCCTTCTATACCTATTTTATTGAGACTTTTTTTTTTATCAGGAATGGGTGTTGGACTTTGCCAAATGCCTTTTCTGCTTCAGCTGAGATGATCATGTGATTCTTTTATTTATGTGGTGGATTATGTTGATGGATTTTCTAATGTTGAACCATCCTTGCATACGTGGTATGAATCCTACTTGGTTGTGGTGTATTATTTTTTTTGATATGATGCTGAATTCTATTGGCTAGAATTTTTTGAGAATTTATGCATCATATTCATGAGAGATATTGGTCTGTAGTTCTCTTTTTTTGTGGTGTCTTTGCCTGGTTTTGGTATCAGGGTTATGTTGGTTTCATAGAATGAATTTGGAAGTATCCCTTCCTTTTCTATATTCTGAAATAGTTTTAGTAGTACTAGTGTAAGCTCTTCTCTGAATGTTTGGTAGAATTCTCCAGTGAAGCCATCTGGGCCAGGGTTTTTTTTTGTTGGGAGTTTTTTTTCAAATTACCTTTTCAATCTCTTTTCTTGTTATGGGTATGTTCAGATTTTCAACATCAATTTGTGATAGTTTGGGTAGGTAGTGTGTTTCTAGAAATGTATCCATTTCCTCTAGGTTTTTGAATTTGTTGGAGTATAGTGTTTCATAATAATATGTTATGATCCTTTTTATTTCAGTTCATTCTGTTGTAATGTCCCCCATTTCATTTCTTATTTGGGTTATTTGCATCCTTTCCTGTTTTTTTTTTTTTGTCAGTTTGGCTAGTGGTTTGTTGATTTTGTTGATCATTTCAAAGAACCAACTTTTGGTTTTGTTGATTCTATTCTTTTTCTATTCTCTATTTCTTTTATTTCTGCTCTGCTCTTTATTATTTCCTCTCTTCTGGTGGCTGTGGGCTTATTTTGCTGTTCTCTTTCTATTTGTTCAAGTTGTGTGGCTAATGTTTTGATTTTGTCCTTTTCTTCTTTTTTGATGTATGCATTTATTGCTATAAATTGACCTCTGAGTACTGCCTTTGCTGTGTCCCAAACGTTTTGGTTTGGTATGATTTGTTTACATTCTCATTTGGTTCTAGGAATTTTTTGATTCCATCTTTGATTTCTCCTATTACCCAGTGTTTTTTAAGCAGGGTGTTATCTAGTTTCCACGTAATTGATTTTTTTTCCTTGCTCTTCCTGTTGTTGACTTCTACTTTGACAGTGTTGTGATCAGAGAAGATACTTTGTGTTATCTCATTGTTCTGGATTTTGCTGAGGATTACTCTGTGGCATATGATGTCATCTATTCTGGAGAACATTCCACTTGCATTGGAAAAGAACGTGTACGTTGCTGCTGTTGGATGAAGTGTTCTATGTATGTCTATGAGGTCCAGTTGGCTGATTGTGTCCTTTAGCTCTTCTGTATGTTTGTTGAGCGTCTTTCTAGTTTCTCCTTTACTGAGAGTGTTGTGTTGAAGTCTCCTACTATTATAGTGGAACGGTCAATTTCTCTTTATAGTGATGTTAAAGTTTTTTTAATGTATTTTGGAGCCCTGTTATTGGGTGCATAGATATTTATTATGGTTATGTCTTCATGCTGGATTGTCTCTTTAATCATGATATAGTGCCCTTTTTTGTCTTTTATGGTGGATTTTGTTTCAAAATCTATCTTATCTGAGATTAGTGTTGCCACTCCTGTTCTTTTCTGGTGGCTGTTTCCTTGATATATTTTTTTCCATCCTTTGATTTTTAATAAATTTATGTCTTTGTTTATAAGGTGTGTCTCTTTTAGACAGCCTATTGATGGATCCTACTTTTTTATCCATTCTGTCACTGTCTGTCTCTTTATGCATGCATTTAGGCCATTTACATTCAGTGAAATTATTAAGTGTGAATTTATTGCTGTCATTTTGTAGTGCTTTTTTTTGTGGTGCTGAAGTTTTCTTTGTTCCTCTTACTCTCCTGTGCTGAATTACTTTGTTTGTGGATTTTTTTCACTTCTTTTGTTTTTGTAGATTTTGTTTTTACTGAGACTTTATGTTTTTCTTCTTTATTTTGATGAGTAGGTTTGTTAACTTTCTTTGTGGTTACCTTGAAATTTACCCTTATCTTCCTAGGTTTGAACCAGAATATTATTACTTGGTATTCACCTTGTCTTTCTTTCTGTTAGAAGGTTCGATATCTACACCATTTATTCCCTCTTGTATCATTCTGATGTTGTTGTCATTTACAGATTCACCTCTGTGGTTCCCTGTTGTAATTGTTTTGGTTTTGGACAGTCCTTGAGAGTTCATTTCCTAGGTTGGTATCTGGCTGGTACGACCTTATGTCCTAGTTTCAGCCTGTGGTTTGATGCTGTTTCTTCTCAGATCAAAGGACTCCCTTTAATAATTCTTGTAAATTTGGTTTGTTTTTTATATAGTCCCTTAATTTCTGTTTGTCTGGAAATGTCCTAATTTCACCATCGTATTTGAATGAAATTTTTGCAGGATATATTGTTCTTGGCTGGCAATTTTTTTCTTTCAAGGTTTTTATATGTCATCCCATTGCCTTCTTGCCTGCATGGTTTCTGCCAAATAATCAGAGCTTAGTCTGATTGTTTCTCCTCTGTATGTGACTTTTCTTTTTTCTCGAGCTGCTCTCAGTATTCTTTCTTTGCTTTGGTTTTAGCGAGTGTGATTATGATATGTCTTGATGATTTTCTTTTGCTGTCTATCCTATAAGGTGTTTATTGAGCTTCTTGGATGGTCAGTTTTTCATCTTTCATGATATTGGGGAAGTTTTCTGTCAGCAGTTCTTCAATGATCGTTTCTGTGTTTTCTTTTCTCCACCTGTTCTGGAACTCTGATCACTAATAAATTTTTGCATTTCATTGCATCCCACATATTTCTCTGTGTTTCTTCACTTTTCTTCATTCTTTTTTCTGATTTTTCCTCAAACAGAGTTGTATCCAAGTGTTTGTTTTCAATTTTGCTGATCCTGTCTTCTATCGTTTCAAACCTGCTCCTCAGCCCCTCTATGACACTGTCCATTTCCGAAATCTTGTTGTTTACCTTCTGGATTTCTAATTGTTGTTTTTGTATAATTTCTAGTTGTGAATTTGTTTTTTTGCCATTTTGTTCCTGTATTATTTTCCTAAATCTTCCATTTTTTGTCTGTATTTTCCATGAATTTGTCTGCCTTTTCTATGAATTTGTCTACTTTTTCCTCATTTGTGTCTGCTTTTTGCTTCAGCTCTTGAATAGCTCTGAATATTAGAAATTTGCATTTTCTATTAGGTAGTTTTAGTGCCTTTTCTTCTACTGGAAAGTCATCTGGTGTTTTATTTTGGAGCCTACAGGAACCATCCAGTCCTGTTTTTTCAATGTTTTGATATTGTCTGCTGTCTTCAGGACATTCAGTAGTTATTTTCCTTGTTTATTGATTGTAGATTTTTTGTTTCATCCTGCTTTTTTTTTTAATTTGGGTATGTCTGAGCAGGCGGGCTGTGCATTCTTTTTTGTTTGCTCGTCTGTGGACACGATATTTTTCACCTCTAGTCGATTGGGCAGGTCCAGTTGCTCAGCTACAGTGCAGCAGGGCAAGTCCAGCTGAAGGTGAGGAGCTGGGATGGGTTGTTTGTGGCACGTGCTGGTGCCGACAAAGTGAGCTGGGGGTTAGTAGTGCAGGGTAGATTCTGGTAGGCTGTGTCTGTGCTGCTCAGGAGTGCAATGTTCAGCACAGAGTGCAGATAGACAGGAGGAAAGGGGAGGGGGAGGTTGTGATATGTGGAGCTAGGTTGGGTATGGGAAAGAGGAGAGAAGAGCAGGAACCAAAAAAAAAAAAAAAGTGCTTAGGGAGACTGCCTTTGGAGTGGAGAGACAAGAAACTGAGAAGTGAAGAAAAACAAAAACAAAATAAATAAAATTTTTTAAAAAAGAAAAAATGCCCCCAGGGATCTCACCATCCTGGCTGTGGAGACAGGGATGCGGCTCCCAAGCTGCATGGTATAGTCAGGCTAGAAGAGGTGGAGATGACACATAGTGCCAAGTATTTAGGAGACAGGGAAAGAAGGTAAGTAGAAAGAGATGAGAAACCAAAAAATGAAGAAAAATAAACAGGAAACAAGAATGAGAAAACAAACAGAAAAAGAAAAAAAAAAAAAGGGAGAAAGAAATAAAGAAAAAAAAAAGCCCCCAGAGATCCCACTCACTTGGTGGCATGGACTGGGGAAGCAGTTCCCCAGCCGAATGGTGCTTCACAGCCTGTCAAGAAGAAGCAAGGATGGCACATGGAGTCAGGTGTTCAAGAGAAAGGAGGGGGAGGAGATGAGAGGCAGGGAAGAAACAAAAAGAGGCCAAAAAAAGCAACACCAGCAACAAAGAAATGTCACTGAAGAAGCCAGCTGGTGTGGGTGGGGTGAATCCGTGTGGCACAGAACTGGCGCCTCCCATACCTAGGTTGCGCCCTGCTAGGAAGTGGCGGATGGGATCACCGGGAAGCAGCGAATTGGCCCACCAGGAAGCTGCGGATTGGCTTGAGGGGAAGTCTTGGATTGGCCAGCTGGGAAGCCTCAGATAACCCGCCAGGAAGTGGCTAAGGCCGAGCAGGCGGAGGTAGGGAGGGGGGTGGGAAAGCATGTTATGCTGGTTACTGGGTGTTCTGTTTCCTCCGGGGAGCTCCATAAATCAACTTTCCTGTACTCCCTGTCCACTCATCTCTGACAGGAGTCCAAGACGGTGGATCCGTGCTGTGTTAGCTGGTAAGGTACCTCTGCTTGTAACTCTCCTTGCTCTCCATTCTCTGTCAGTTTCTTATTCCATTAGGTGCTTGGTTGAGTTCTTTGTCTCTTCATTTGATGCTTAGTGTCCCAGGATTGATGTTTGTCTCTGTTTTACTTAGTTTTTCAGGTCTTTGCTATGGAGGGAGAGTGTGCTGCTTCTATCTATAATGCCAAGTTGGCTGCATCTCCAGTGTCTGGTAATTTTTAAGAGTTTGCTTAATTTTTGTTAAAAGATAAAGACCACAACAAATAGTGTACTGCCAGCATGGTGTTGCGATACAGGCAAGCCAGATAGCAAGAATTTGACAATGTCAAACTAGATGAGTGTGAGCCGTAGTCAGTGCCAGTCCATTCTACTCTGGCAGGTATATTTACAAGTTGCAGATGTTTCTGATTGTCTAGACTTAATGACACTGGTCATTCATTACTTTTAACTGACTTCTCTTATTTCTCTTGCTCTTAGTTAATTCTCCCTAAGCCATTTCTTAATAAATATAATACATTTGTATATAAATTTTCCTTCAAAGTGTATATGCTCTGACCAGCCATCAAAACATTCTGATCCATTTGGTAGTTATATTTCTTATTATAAAATAATGATTTGGAGCCTTGTTTATAGGTCATTCTATTATAAATTTTGTAACATGTGTAAATCCTGCTGAATCAAATAAATTTCTGGTTGCCTTGACAAACTTGAGCTTTTGTAGCTGAAAAATCTATAAATAAAACTGAGTTCATGTAACTGAAACTTTAATATCCTAGAATATTCTGATTGCCAAGATATCCCTTTTGTGATTCTGACTACTGTCTAGAAACTAAAACAGAAAGTGAAATAAGAGAATGTGTTATGTTAAGCTGTACAACACAGTCAATTGTTGTTGCTGTTAGCTGCCATCAAGTCGACCTGCAACTCATGGTGAGCCTATGTACAATGGAACAAAATGTAGCTCAGCTCTGCGCCATCTCCATGATCAGTTGTAGATCAGACCGTTGTGATCCCTAGGGTTTTCACTGAATGATTTTCTGAAGTAGAATGCCAGGCCTTTGTTCCTATTTCATCTTGGTCTGGAAGCTTTGTTGAAATATGTTCCGCATCATAGCAACATGCAAACCTCCACTGACAGTTGGGTGGTGTGTATGAGGTGCATTGGCTGGGAATTGAACCTGCATCATCTGCATGGAAGGAGAGAATTCTACCATTGAAACTCCACTGCCTCCAGAAAAAAAGTATACACATACACACAAAGAAATGAATGGAATCCATTTAGTATGAAATAGATATTCACTTTCAATGTTCTTTAAGTGGCATATACGCATGTTCTTATGGAGCCCTGATGGCTTCATGGTTAAGAGCTCATCTGCTGAGCTAAACATCCACAGTTTGAACTCATGAGTCACTCCATGGGAGAAAAGAACTGGCTATCTGATCCCGTAAAGATTACAGCCTACAAAACCCTATGGGGCAGTTCTACTTTGTCTTACAAGGTTTCTAGGAGTTGGAATTGACTCAATGGCACACAACAACAACATCATGCATGCTCTTTGCCCCGTAGATCATTTGTTTCTTGAGGGTAAAGTATGTAAGATTTATTTTTTTCTTATTCCTCACAAAATCTAATCTAGTACATAACTCTTAGTAAATAGAAGGGAAAGGACCTAGAAAGATAATGTCTTTGTCACCTATCACTTGTCTCTTTAGTAAACATCCTTTTCCACTCAGAGCAGTACTCTCTCTCTATAGCCGTATTTTGACACTGTTTATCAATTTCTAGACTACAGACCCTATCCTCATTCCTTCATTCCCCCATTAAACTCTGCTGTACCAAACGTACACTAGCTCCCCTTTATTTTTATACCTATACTCCACCCTAGACTGTTCTTATCCGGCTAATATTCTGGCAGAGTTTGAAATGCTGTTTAGCAAAGACCACTTGAGGACTTTTGATGTCACTTAAAAGTATTGAAAATATAAAACAAACAATTGGTAATTCTGCTACTGATATTGCTTTCTAGATCCTAGGTAGCTGGAAGAATTGAATGAACAATGTTTGAAAATTTAAGTAATCTAGCCAAATTACTGAATCTATTGGCATAAAGAAGCCCTGATGGCACAGTGGTTAAGAGCTCAGTGCTAACCAAAAAGTCGGCAGTTTGAATCCACTGGCCGCTCCTTGGAAACCCTATGGGACAGTTCTACTCTGTCTGTGAGTCTGAATTGACTTGACAGCAATGAGTTTGTTTTTATTTTTGCTACTGGCATAAATATCAAAATAAAACATGAATAATATATATCTGAGCCTAAGCTGCATCTACAAAACAGAATTTAAAAAATTTAATTATATATAAAATTTGTTATATGCTAAAATTATTAAACATAAGCAGAAGATATGTATTTAACTATGTTTAGTAAACAGACACATCCATGTAAAATAAGGGTATCATTATCTCATATTTGAAATTTTAACCTGGCACTCTGATCTTCCTCATTTTGTCCTGAGGAGAAAAAATTTTTTTTTAAAAGCCGTGTAACAATTAAAAGACATTTTTAGGTTAAAATGATAGAATTAAAAAAATAACATAATGGCATTTTTACATCAAAATGAAGTGTTCATCATCAAAACACTCATTATGGTAGGCATTTATTACAATTATCAAAAACATTTTATGAGTTTTCTTGGAATTTGCCTTTCAAAGTAAATTTGCAAATCACAAAAATATATTTATATCAATTCCTCTAAAATATCCTAAGAGTTTATCAATTATTCCAAAGGCTACTATCAAGTATTATCAACAGTATCAAGTACTATCAATATGCTGACAACTACCAAATTTGTATCTCTAGTTTACACCTTTCTTCTGAGATTTCCCAGAGGTAATATCTACCTATATATCTCCCAAGTACCTAAGAAATGGTCTGAAACTGAAATAATCATCTTTCTTTTAATTGGTACCAGCATCCATCCATCTGGTTGCACACATAAGAAACTTGGGGGAAATTCTTACCCCTCTTTCTCTCTCACCTGTATTTTTAAATATGTTGGTGTTATCAATTCTACTTTGTAAATATAACTCAACCCATCCACTTACCTCTATCTTACTTTCAGAGCCCAAGTCCAAACCACCACTATCTCTTACCTGGATTCCTCAGGAGCTTAACTTGTTTCCTTAGTCTAAGCTTAAAACCCAAAACCAAAAACCAAACCCACTGCAGTCAAGTCCATTCCAACTCATAGTGATTCTGTAAGACAGAGTAGAACTGCCCCATAGGGTTTCCAAGGAGCAGCTGGTGGGTTCAAACTGCCAATCTTTTGGTTAGCAGCCGAGTTCTTAACCACTGCACCACCAGGGCTTCACATCTAAGCTTAGTTCCCTCTAATCTATTCTCCTTTCGGTCAGTTAGCACACTAATAATGAAATATTATTATGATAATTCTCTGTATAAAATCTTTCAAACAATGCTCCTTGCTTTTAGCATAAAGTTTAAATCTCTTACCATGGCTCCCAGGCTCTTGCTCCAGCTTTCGGTAGTTTCAACTATCACTCACTTTGCTTGTTAAGCCCAAGTCACAACAGTGTTCTTTGTATTCTTAGAAGCTATCAAGCTCTTTCTTACTTCAGGAACATTGTGCTCATCCATCTGCCTGAAATGTTCTTCCCTGAAAATTTGTTTCTCATCCTTTAGGTCCCAGTGAAGTCTATTCTGAATACCCACACTATGTAAATTGTCCTGCTAAATAATCTTTTAATAATCTGTATCTTTCTTTAAAAGCACTCATTGGAGTTTATAAATCTATGGATGTCTGTAGAAGAGAGAATGGGAAAATAAAAAGACCTCACAGTGGGTTCTAAGTCCTCTCCCTGATTTTGAACCACTCAATGGCTTTCAATTCTTTCAGATTATTATCCACTGTATCAGAAGAACTTTGTCAGAAAATGGGGGACAGAAGTTAAAAAACCTTGTAACTTCCACTCATTCTAAGCCTCACAAGAGGAATAAAGAAAAATTGGATTCTAAGAACAAGAACTAATATAGATAATATCTTTCATGCCTCCTCTCCTCCCTGAACATCTAACTAACAAATCAATCAGTTAAAACATAAACAAATATATATTGATCATCTAAAATTGCTGGAAACTATACTAATTATTAGGAAGAACGCACTGTAAAAAGAAATGGTTTCTGTCCATCTGGAATTTACATACTGCTGTGAGGAAGAGAAATTAATCAAATAATTAAAATATGGTGAACACAATAAAGAATTAGGGTAGAGTGTTGTCATAGCATATAATAGGGTATGATATTGTCTGGAGAAGGCTTCCCTGAGGAAGTTCTCTTTAAAATGATACCTGGAAGATGATTAATAAAATTTATCTAAGAGAAATAAAGGAGGCAGAATTTTTTTTTTTTTTTTTTCTAAGCAGAGGAACAGAATATCTCAGTGTCTTGAGGTAGAGGAGAGAATATCATGTGCATTAAAGAAAAGAGCAAAGCTAAAACAGAAAAGTGGAGAGTAGTAGCATCTTGTAGAGCATCTTAGGAATTTTGTGTTTTATTTTAAAGTCAACTGAATGTCCTTTAAAAAATTATCTTTTCAGTTGCAATGTGGAGAATGGATTGAAGAGGGGTAACAATGGATGCAGAGAGGCTATTTGTGAGGAAGTCGCTATACTGGTACAGGCAGTGGATGATAGTGGCTTGGTTCATACAGATAGCAATAGAGATGAATAAAAGAAGCCACATTAAATAATACCAAAATGGTGAAATCAATTCATTCTGGTGACATAATGAATGCAGGGTGCTAACAGGGAAAGGAAGGACTTCAAGATGACCCTTGATTTCTGACTTCAGCCAACTGA